AGAATATTTATACGTATCATGTGTTTCCTAAATGTCACATTATACAACAGTATGCTTCTGTTTTTGACAGCAGTGGTTAGCACTTTCTAAATCTAATCAGTGTTGTGCTTTCCTGTGAGCATTACATAAAACATTATTTTGAAAAAAAAAATAGACAGCTGTATTTGAAATGTAATCTATTACATTTCACATTCATGAGTTTTGAAATGCCATAATTTCCATTCAGTTAATATTACGAAACAAAGAATTTGCAATACTACTTAACTACATTTTTCAGCCACCACTTGGGTACTGTATGAAATTTTTGTCATTTAATCAACTTTATGTCAAGGGAACTCCCCAGGGCCGGAGTGGGACAAAATGTCACACCCCAGACTGGCTTCTGGGGTGGGTGGGAGAAACTGCATGTGATCAGCCAGATACAATCAGCACCCCCACCAACCAACACCAATAAGTAACTTTTCTACAAGAGCCCTTAAGTAAATGAAGGCGTTGACATAACCCATAGTCACATTTAGAGTGTATTTCTGTGTGGGTCCACACCCCCTGCTGGATAATATGCAGTACTGACAAATAACACAACTAAGGTCTTAACGTAAAGGTCTCCCACTCTAGTGCTGGAAAATCACCAGCCCTGCATTTTTGGGTTTCACCTCATTTAACACACTCTCTGCTAAATACCACCCATTTCATGAGCTGAATCAGGTGTAGTAGAACAGGAAGAGAACTAAACTGTTCAGATCTGGGGCTCTCCAGGACAGTAGGAGACCCCTGTCATAATGAAGCATCACAATTGTCAGAATTGTGTTAAAATCAACAATTACCTAGATAACATCAGAGCAAACACACCACTTCCTGGTCTTATAATACATCTCTCTACCTCTAATGGTAGAATTGTATAATTTTTCATAATATCTGCCATTGAAATATGCACCACACCATAACTTCCTTAACTATCAACCAAATCAGGATTCAAACCAAAACGTGCAGAGCACATCAGATTAGCAGTACATCAGCTTTACCACTTGGCCATATTGCCCGCCATGTTTATAATATTATGAATCTATATGCCACTGGGAGCCCTGAAAATATAAATAAAACGCAAAACATCTTAGAGGAACAGCATCTACACAGTGGCCAAAAACTGGCATTGATTCAACAGCCTAAACTAACAATAATAATCAGTAATTTGCTCAACAATTTCTTAGATGCCCTTCAGGTAATACTACTTTCGTTTTTTAGTAAAGGTCATCAGATTTGTCATTAAAAATGATGAGGAAACATACTAAACACTTGTAATTGCAGGGGAGGGTTTGGATGGGTTGAAAAATGATGTCCAAAGCCAAAGATGGCAGGAATAACTGCTGTTTCCAATTATTACCCCACTGTGCATACGCCGCACAACATCTGTCTTCCACTCAAGGTCATCCGGCTCAAATTCTGATTTTCACTGATTGTTCATTAAATGTGGCAAAGCATAGCTTAAAATTTTATTCAGCTTAAGGTTGGCATTAATTTCACATCAGAAGTTTTATATTATTATCATTATTATTATTAATAATAATAACAACAACAATCCATAGTGAGGTAACAATACTGGAAGAAAAGAAAGTTTAAATGAAAGAAGAGATTTTGGGGAAAGAAATGACAGTAAACAGTCTTCTGTTGTCAGAAACAAAACAAAAAAAATCCATCCATCCATCCATCCATTCATGTACCTATTACTACATCTTGGTTGGGGGGCTTGGAGCCTATCCCACACAGTATAGGGAAAAAAAGCAACTTTCACCATTAAACAGGATGCTAGTACATTACATAAAAAGACACAAATAAACTGTTACAGTGGGGCTTGTCAAAGGAGGAACAAGTCATGTAGCGGCACCAACAAAACTGGGTTTTACAGTATTTAACAGCATAGAACAGAAAGGGAGAAAACAGAAAACAAAGGGACTGTGAGGGGTCAAAACAAAACTAATACATTTGAAATCAAGGCATGGAGTAACACAGGAAAACAAACAAGTAATAACAATCAAAAAGATACAACTAACAAACACATAGCAACATAGGAAACCAACCAGACAAGGAAACAGCCACAACACACCAAAAAAAGCACAGAGCAAAAACAGGCATTTAAATACACACTGAAAACAGGGCTAACAAAGAACAGACGTGGAACAAACCAAAAGCAACTAATCAGCAAACTCATGGAACAACATGACAAAGGTGGAATAACTATAATTAACATGCACAGGAACTAGAGAGCATTAACAAACACAGAGGTCTAACAACACTAGGAAAAAGCTATGGACAAGTTCAAGCAGAACATAGTTAACCCAGGCACTGACACGGTTAACTATGACAGGAACACCAAGAAAGGACAAAGCAAACCATGTCAAACACTAAGGAAAATAAAACCAATATAAATTAAGCAAAAGGTGAGTGGCCCGGGGAGAGGGGAAACACACTAGGGACTAAGGATACAAGACAGAGGGGGGGAGCAGGGTGACCAGCGACACCTGCTGGCCAACAAGGGTCAAAATACATAGGGCAGGGAAGGACAGGTACTGACTCTGACATAATCGACCGATATCAGAAGCTCTATTATGCTTAGGCAAGAATATGTAGTCCTTGATTTAATACCATTTAATACTCATTCATAAATGCCCAGAAGAAAAGATTTGATATAAACTAACATTTAGCAGTGGGACCCCAAGTCTTCTGGTGGATTATCAGTAATTGGCTTGCATATAACTATCTCCCTATGTTGTGTGTAGATCATTTTAGACTGGTACCCTATGGTGCAGGGTTGACAACTTTTCAAACAATCACATCAAAAAATTGAACCAATAATACTATAAAAATCTCATTGCTGAAATGTATGCCAGTCATCAAACGTAACAAAATAGATTGTTACAGAGTTGTGTCTATTTGGGAATTATTAGATTTTAGGACCCAGTTATAAAACCCACCAAATTATATTTGCAATCAATTTAACCAAATAGAATATTATTTACATTCAGGTGAAATACTGTAAAGCCGCAATACAAAATGCACCACATTATAAAAACAAGAGTTCTGCCTCATATCTTCTATGTTCATTTTAGCGAAAGCAATGACTATGCTTTTCATTAGCCATTCCTTACTGATCTTCACATTCAAATGAGTTTTTGGTAACACTTAAGGCCATGTTTTTAAATCTATAAACACATTCATAATAACTAAAAATGCATAATAAAGCATTATAAACATGACTATAAATTTTATCAAAAGGCATACCACATTGTAACCATGAGTATTATGCATTATATAAGTTTAATGAAGCTCTCATCTATAATGCACTATAGATACTTTTATAATGCATTATAATGGTTGGGATAAGCATTGAAGATGCTTTGTACTGCATTAAAAAAGTATCTATAGTGCATTATAGATTACAGCTTCATAAGACAGTCATAATGCATAATAAACATAGCCATAATGTCTTGTGCTTTTTAATAAATATTTATAGTCATGTTTATAATGCTTTATGAATGTATTATAATGCATTATGAATGTGTTTATAAATTACTAAAAACATGGTAAATTGTTACCGCATTATTTTGATTGGCTGTAACTTGAATGAAAACAATATACTGTATCACTAATCCCAGGGGTGAACTTTTTAAAGTTAGGAAAAACTGTGAAATTTGTAGCTATCCTTTAGCTATTTCAGTTGTGGTGTAAAATGCATTGCTCAAAAATATAATATGGACATGTTATTAATTATGATGTATTTACTGTGTTAATTATAATGCATTATTTGGTGAATCAGTCATGTGTGGAATAATCAGGCTGGCATAGAGTTTATTTATACATACAGTGAATATGCTATCATTTTGGCCTGTCATTAAGCACCTTAATATGAGCTGTTCCTCAGATGAATAACCTGGTTGATCTTAACAAGCCTGTGCTGGTCTGGTGCCAGAATTGGATGTAGATTGACTGGCTGCTTGCCACAGTGCACAAGAAAGATCGGCACTAAGATATTTGATTGGCTGAATTTGTTGCTTTCTTACACCTTTCAGCTCTACAAGAGAAAAACAAGAATCTGAATGACCACCAGATGCAGTAAATCTAATAAACCTTTAGATAATTGCAAGGTAAGTCTCAATGGGCTTTTTTGAACCAAATAAAACTCATTGATTAGTGAGGACCATGACACTGAGATTCGAGTCCAATTGGAACCCTCACGTGAAAAAGCCAACTTCTGCTGAAGTAAGGTAATATATTTTAATAAAGCTTTTACAAGCAATTTCAATTGTCTACACTGCTCTGCTTCTGCTCCACATAATCCCATGTAATCCCTATAATCAAAAACAAAGCACAAAGTCATATCACTTTTGGTATTTTGTAAAATTATATTTTGCAAGTATAGGTATACGTGAGTTAGAAAAAAAAGCATAAAACACAAGTAAGAGTGTAAAAATAACATTAAATGTGAAAGCTGCCCTTAGTGCTGTCTTTTCACTGTTGAATACCATTGCTTGTTAAGAATGCTTTCCAAGCTAGTGACAGTAACCAAGGGTTTCATAGTGGTATGAAAAGGTCAATTGTCGAGAGACAGCTTTTCCGGACAACGAAAATTACAAGGCATTCAGATTTATCTTCTAAATTCATTTTAAAACATGACTGCATTGATTTTTTTTTTGATGGGTGCACCAGTTGTGTTAAATTTTCTACTAAAGTTTGAACTTAAACCCTGCACACTTGGCAAGTTAATTTTTCAAGTTTTATTGTGTGTGACTTTCAAAGGGAAACAGGGAAATGCAAAATCAAAAGGAGAATAAAAAACAGCTTATATAACTTAAAGTGGCTATATTTAATATAATTTAATGGTCAGTATACCTGAATAATATATGCAAAAATGTAATGCACAAAAATATAGAGTGGAAAGCTCCCAAGCAAATGAACAGAAACCCACAAAACTTTGTTGGAAACTGACAAAATGCCTACAAGCCAGATCGAGTCTAATCATTTATTATGCAGCATTTCTGAAAAGCAATGACAGATAATAACTTAATAGGTACTTATTCAATAAATACAAAATAAAACATACATATATAATAACGATATGCAAATATACAATGAAATGGTGTGAGAGTAACACGACTTTGCCTTCTGATCCAGGGGCATTTGCAGGGTTTGAAGAAAGCTCGCTAAATGCTCTTTGTAATATTTCACATTTCCCATGAGGGACACACGCATGAAATGCACAACTACCCTTAGCGAGGAGCCGGGCACGTTCATGACTTTGGGGGATATCGGAAGACAAATTGCCATCCATTTGTGTGTAGAGCACATAACGCCTCAGTAGTTTTGTTGTACATTTTATAATGATCTGGTTTATAACGCAAGAAGGCTTTGTATTGGAAGCCACCGTGGGTTATTTTCTGTTCACCATCCCGGAGCATGGAGGAAGGGGCTAACTGTGCGTTAAATTGGGTTGATATTGGGCAATGACTTTGGATCAGTGCACTCTGCAATTTTAATTGCATGCCCTTTTTACATGGGGCAAAGCTCTGTAATGTCAATGCGCTCTCCAACATGTTGAGTGGATAGTTTCCATGCAGTAGAAGAACTCCTGATCTGCTTAGTATTCATACACTAGAGTCTCCTAAAGGTTACCATACCTAATTAGATATTTATGCAGGATTTTCAAAGGTCTTTCTGCTATTAATGATGTACCACTCCCGTGGGCTTCATAGATGGCATTTTGCCTGTGAATGCACGCCCTTCATAATGTTTTCATATACAATACAGTTGGGTATTTGAGGTGTGAAGTAATCCTTATGTCAAATGTACACTGCAACAAAAATATCTGAGCTCCGAGTTTGTATGGAAACATTGGTAACTCATAAAATGAGTGTCCATTGTTTGCTAATAAGTTTGATATATATATATATATATATATATATTGTGCTTTACCTAATATCAATTCCCCTTCATTTTAAAAGAATATTGCTGAAAGTGTTGTCAAGAAAAGAATAGTCATCCCACAAAAGTAAAAAGTATCTATTTCAAATCATAATGCCAAAAAATATACATCAAACACGTCTATGCAGATTCATAAAATTAAATGTATCCCACAGCAATTCAAGACAACCATTTTTTTGAAGCTATGGGGTTACATTCTTAGCACAAAATGGCACTTTTTCTCAATGAAGACAGAATTGATTTTACAAGAACCAATGCAAACAAAAGCTCCGGGCGCATGACCAAATTTCATGTTACAGAAATCTTAATAAATAATTTGTATCAAAGTTTCTGCAACTTGTAAAATGAATGTCCATCGTCTGCTTGTGTGTGTGTATAGTTCCAGTCAAAATTCTGGACACACCCAGCAGCCTACAGAAGAGAGTGATACTGTAACGTCACATGACCTGACCACCTGATTTAAACACAGTAGAAATGGTTCACCAGAGAAGAAAGTATGGTCAGCCAGTCCCTGGAGCAATAGGGGTTAGGGGCCTCACTCAAGGGCTCAATGGTAGCATCATTCCGCCGACCACGAGATTTTAACCGAAAACTTTCCTACTGAGCTGCCAACAAATTAATTTTCTTTTTTTTTGTTTAGTTTTTTGGTCAGTGCATAATTCATAGTGCATATATAATTTTATCATTTTGATGTCTTTGTAATAATTCTAAAATATAGAAAATTGTACAGATAAACCTTTCTGTGGGTATGTGTGTCCAAACATTCGATTGGCACTATGTTTATATATATATATGTGTGTGTGTGTGTGTGTGTGTGCATCTGTGTGTGTAGTGCTCTACTGAGTATTAATAATGTATCAAAAATTAACAACATTGATCTTACCAAAGTAAGCACTTATTACAAATCATAATGCCAAAAACCCACATCAGCCATCTCGGTATACAATTCATTAACATGACATTAAATCTGCCTTCTTTGGGGAAAATAAGAAGGAATGTCCGACATGCAGCCACGCTGCTCGAGTGCTTTTCAATTTTACATGCAAGAATCTAAAGTAAGTGTGAATATTTGTAACCCCCCTTGTCACCTGGGACTTCATTAAACCCGAAGTCACAGGCTCGATATGTAAGGAGCGGCGAGATTCGCTCGAGGCTCAATCTTACGGTCCAAGACCTCGGCTTTCCCGTCTGCCGTGTCCCCCGTCAGCGTTTGTAGCATTCGTTTTGTAATCTGTTTGTTTGTTTTTGATGCCCCCCACCCCGGCTCCACAAATCTATACTATACATCTATACTCCAGTCCTTCACAAGCATACCTCCTGACCACAACTCCCCAAATAAGTCACTCAACTCAGCTGTGAACACTACCCCCCTCCCCCCATGGTGTCTTGTCCAGGCAGGCTGAAAATCTCACAAAAAACCCAGACCAGTTTCGTTCAGAGTGCTTTGCATGTGTTCTACTCGTTCTTGCAGTATTGAACCCAGTTTCAGTAAACACTGAGTCCATTTTCAAAAACATTTAAAAATTTCCATATTTAAAAATTTGCTTACCTTTCCCCCCCCACACACTTTCCTCATCATCCCCTGCATTTTGTTTTTACAATATTTATGGGTATGATTTCTTTGGAACAGTTTTATAATAATATTAAATACATATCCCACAGGAAAATAATACTGTATAACAGAATATGCTAGTGTGGTGCACACACTGTGAAAATGAAGGCACTGACATGTTAAAACAAATGAGAATTTAAAAAACATTTTGAAATACACAAATAAATGTGTTTTAAGAAAGAGTCCCCATGCTGAATACAAACAGAATGGAGTTATAGTACAGCGTTTATTTTTTCTCGCAAGCTTATTTTTTTTCCTGTTCCGTTTCCTCATTCGTGAGATCCTCCTCAGAAGCTCGTCTCCTCTTCGCTGCCCCCATGCCAGGGTGCCAGTCTCACGAGCCTCCTGCCCGAATCCTGCGGCCGCTCCGGACTCGTCTCCGACGCTGTGAGGGAGCCCAGGGAGCTGAGCGAGCCGGCCGACGAGCCCCTGCCCTCGAAGGCATATGTCCGCACGCAGTCGAAGGGCGGGGCAAATGGGTCGGTGTCGGCTTCCAGCAGCCGCTCCCGCATGAACTGCCGAAAGGCCTCATCCTCTGGGCCGATGTGGTAGGACTGACAGAATGACATGCGGATGCTGGCCTCGATCTCCGCCCTGCTGAACCTGTGCCTGTCTCTTCGCTTCGGTTGACGCCTCAGGGGCACCGGGCTGTAGGCTTCCAGGCTGTTCGTGGCCTCCGGCTCGGAGTGCCGGAACACCTTCCCGGGAAGGTCCGCCCACGCCACCGGCCCGCTCTCCTGCTTGGCCTCATTGCGCCGCCGGGTCTTGTGGCTCCTCACCGCCAGTGTTAGCGCGATGAGGACTGCGGACAGAAAATGGGCAGGCGGCTAGTGGATGATGAATGATTAATTGGGGGGGGGGACGGGTCGTGACTGAGAGGCAGGGCACCCCGATTCAACATCAACTGGGAGCTGCGATCCAGCACAATGGTCGCTCAAGCTTTAAGAACACCATTCCCACTGGGTTACTATATCAGTATATATACTATATCAGTACAAGAGCAACTATTTACAGGAAGTAAAGAAAACTTTTGTGTTTTTTCTATAAAACTTTCAAATAGGAAGTTCACGTAAAACAATTATCTTTACAATAGGCGATTCTAGGTTTTTCTCCCAGGGGGTGCAAGGTGAGTCATTCATCCATACAAAGCAATTTGTAAAAGAATATAGTAAATAAATACATGTCCAATAAATTATTATTGCATATTGATATAACTAACACATGGCACATTTCAAATATTACTTTACAGTGAAATTAAATTTTATCAAACTTAATTGGATCAAATTGCATTTTTATCTGATGAGCAGGGGATGCATCCATGGTCAAACTGCCTATGATCTCTACTGCCAATCTATAGCATATTATTAAACCATACATATGTTTTCTCATAAAGGCACATGTTTTTGTTTTGTTAAGCATTTAGTGGTGTTTAGTGTTGGTTAATAACACCATGGCAAGTGAGTGTTCTTCCAACGCTGGCATAAGTGACTGACCTTCCAGAAGTAAATGAATTAATAGCATTATATATATGCACACTTGTACTTGCCAGATTGATGGGAATGTGTTTAGTTTGAACTAATTCCATGCTCTGTACAAAAAAAGAGCAATTTCACAATTAGTGAAAACTGATGTTTTTTTGCAGCTGTAGCCATAAGACACACCAGAGCTGCTTTACTCTCAGTCACTGTTAAAGATTTAAAGGCATGGTGCTTCCAAAGGCTTTCTGCCAGCTCTGTTTGTTCCTGAGCACAATGTGGTGTGAGGAAGACCTAACACCTACTGTAACACCTACCACAGGAACAATGCATGTCAGCCAGTAACCTGGTGGCCCCAAACTGGTCTGCAGGAGGTGAGACATCCAGACTAACTGGGGAGGCCCTTGTTTCAATTACAAAGCAGCTGAGATCCAAATCTCAGATCACGATTGGGCACATGACTAAACACAGGGGCATGGCTAAAGGGGCACTCGCCTCAGCTGAAAGCTGATTGGCCCCTGGAGTGCCCCCTCCTCTGTCACTCACAAATTCAAATTAAAAACATATCATTGGCTAATGACAAAAATCAGCTTCTTTGTCTGAATTTATGAATTGTAAAATACTGAGGTCAAAAGTGTTAGCCCATCTTAGGTGTGCCCAATAATGGATCATGGTTATTGGAAAACATACTGGGGACTTGACCTTGGTGTCCTCAATGGTACAGTAGGTACGGGCATGCCCCCACCTCAACAAAAATCCTAGAATCGCCTCTGACTAAATATCTATTCTATTCAAGGCCATTTCAATCTCTTTTCCTCTAAGAGTCCTCCATCGATACATAGCCTAGGGTTTGTATGAAATAATTCAGTACTGCAGTGTTGTTTTTCAAGTAAAACGCCTTCAAAATTCAAAAGGAATAAATTTACTGGTTAGCCCCCCCCCCAATGTTGCTCAGAAATATCACACAGGTACCCCCCCCGCCCCACCTGTGACTGTGAGGACGCAGACGACAATGGCGACGAGCGCGTAGATGCCGAGCCCCATGGGAAGCGCGAGGGCCTGGACACCGTCGCTGGGGCAGTGACCTGCCGGCTCGCATCTGCACACCGTGATGGTGAGTGTGGCCGTGCTGCTGAGCGGGGGGACGCCGCTATCGGCGATCACGACGGGAAGAAGGTACTGGGTGCGGTCCTGCCGCGAGAAGGAGCTCCGGCGGGTCAGGATCCCGGCAGTGTTGTCTAAAATTAGCCAGAAAAGCCACGAGTAGAACGTACTTTTACAGCAGGCTGGAGGTAGAGAGAGTCTGACTCATTCTGCAGCCTCAAAATCCTCACTGCATCATTCACCATTTCTTTAATCTTCTTTAATTCCTCAGATCACCATACTTTAGATTTTCTAAGTCATTTTTAAAGAAAATATTCAAGGTTTTATTGTCATTGAGTTACACACAACAAGACTCTTTATTTGTTCGTTGTTGTGATGTGTTTTCTGTCATCTTACGTGTGAGGCTGTTTTTAAAGTCTTGGACAAAAACTGTTTTGTTTCATTGTACGCATGCACATTTTAAAGTGACAATAATACTGTATTTGACCGGGCATCCAAAGCCGAAGCAATCAAAAAGCAAATAATATAGAGGTAAACGATAATAAAGAGGTAAACAATATATGAAAGAATCGAACTGTATTTAGAGGTAAACAACGTATCGAGATAGTCAAAGTATTAAAGAAATGAATTATAAACAGACTAACAGAATAACATAAAGTGCAGGAGTAACAGGAAGTTTAGCTATATTTTCAAAGAAGAAGCTTCAGTGTCACCAAAGTCTGTACTCACATACACATGCATTGACATGTATATAGCAGTTTTATTACCTTGTAAATAGTCTGTGCTTTTGATGTACCTAATTTTAGGTTTAAAATGTAATAATATAGATCTGCCGAAAGATGAGCGTGACAGTCTGAAAGTGTAAGTGTCACGCCAGATATGTGAGAGTTGGCAGCCCCAAAGCTTAGCCCACTGCATGCCGTCCTTATGTCTGACCTTGGTTGTCTCGAAGTGTGAAGTTCGGGTTGATACGCTTCTCAGGAACCAAGGAGAAGTAAAAGTGGTGCCCCTCTCCAGGGTCATCCAGGTCCATGGCACTGACCAGCTGTACGAGCTGGAGGATGGAGGACACCGTCAGGGTGAGACCCGGCAAGTGTTGTGTCTTCTCTCAGATGGGAGAGGTGGAGGACTTCCTCTCTCGGGGCTTTTGCTTTCTTTAATTTACCGGTACTTACGACAAGGCTTAGGCTCTGTCTCTATGTATATACTCAATCTCTCTGCGGCCATTTTGTCTGGTACACCTGCTTGCAAACACCAACAGCCTGAGCCTAGTGGGAACTGTGTGGCCACGACACAATACACAGAGCACAGGGATGGGGTCACAAGGTTCAGTTACTGTTTGACGGAGCATTAGAAGGGGCCAGATGCTTGACCTAAACAATTTTTAACATGGCGTGATTGTTGGTGACAGGCATAGTGGCGGGACCAGCATCTCGGAAACAGTCATTCCCCCGGGATTTCCACACACTAGATTGCCGAGAATTTACAGAGAATGTTCTGACAAAAATTCTTTGGGTAACACCTTACTTGAGGAAGCACAAATAACGCAGTACTATACTCTTACTTAATGTATTAATTAACCAGAGAGTGTTAGTTTGTTATATACTTTTCCCATGTGTGTTCATCATTAATCAGTTATGACGGTTAATGTATTTCAAGTAGTTATCATATTTGTTTATGATTTGTACTTGAGTAGTAACTGAGTTTGTGTTACTTGTGCCTCCTCAAGTAAAGTGTTACCACACCTTGTTAAAGATAGAGATCAGAGGAAGTGGCCAGATTCATTAAAGCTAAGAGGTTGGCAATGAGCATAAGAATATCATGGCCCAAATGTGATAAGGAATGTTTCTGAATGCTGTTGAATTCTTGCCTCAAAAGATTCAAGCTATTCTGTAGGAAAATGTGGCCCTTCCTGGTACTAGGCAGGTGTACCTAATACAGTGGCCACTGAGTGTATTGAGACATAGTAGTTACTTGGGGAAAGGATTGCATGATGTTAAATTTATATAAAAGCAATCGATAATGACTAATTGAATGCCAACCTCTCCAGACTGTGCGCCTTCACAAACATACGGCTGGTAGACTTTAGAGAACTGTGGAGCGTTGTCATTGACATCCAACACCTTGATGAACACTGGCACCGAAGAAAATAAACGATTCTGTTCTGAAAGTGCAAAACACACAATACACACAGAGTTTGGGTACCATCATAATCAGTGTCGTGATTGTAGCGTCTGTTCTGGAATTCTGTAGAATGTGAGAGGTTTGGCTTACTTGTTTCACTGGCAGTCACGGTAAAATTGTGCCAGGATACACTCTCCCGGTCCAAAGATTTCACAGTAATAATTGTTCCATTGTTTGGATCTATTTTGAACAGTTTCTTCACACTGGAGTCTCTATCAATATTATACCTGGAAAAAGATCACAAGACCCATAGTTTTTTTTACTTCAAAGGAAAAGTGTTAAAATTCAGTTCTGTGAGCATGTTTGTTCTGCTTTTCTGTAAATATAATCTTATATTGCTAAATAATATATCAGGTTTTATATTTAATAAATTAGCATCTTACTTGATGCAGCTCATGGTGAAAACTGCTGGTATGTAATCCAGTATAAATAAAGAGGAAAGCAATTTATATTCTTTACATTTCTGTGCCAGATTAGTCCACATTTTGCTTTTGTCCCTCTTTTCCCTTTTCAGAGTCTTTAGGAAGGACAATAATTGTTGTTTGCCTCATTGCAGTAGTTCCGAATCTCAACTGACATTTTATACCGAACTGCAACCAAATCACTTGACATACTTTGCTTTTAAAACGCATGAATAGAGACCCAATATGGTTTTCCCACATAAAAAGACTTTTATATAACACACATATATATTCTGTTTCATATGGAAAACCAACTTTTTGATTGACAATTTCAAACCTGGATTCATATTCAATTGCTTTTTATAAACAGGTATAAAATATTGCAGCATGCTTTTCATGACTCAACTGCCACAGCGCTGTAAACGATATCTGCGTCGTGTCTCGGGGATAACTGGAGCACAGAACCTCTAGGACATACAATACTGTACAGGCAGTTCGACAAAATTATGTTTAAATGATTATGTTTCAAAACCTCCTAAAATCACCCCAGTGTTTGCAGCAACCATCTAACATGTCCATGTTTGGCTAATTAATACCTCATCAAATTATTTCACTAATTAAGTTCATTAATTGGTGGTGAAATCTAATATTTACATGCCCCTGAATTGGTGTTCTGGCCATCCAACAAGATATTTGCAAATTTTTAGAGAACAGAAGAAACTCTTGTTATTTTTTGTTGTGTTACTCTTCATCTTAAAATATTCTAATGCCAAATTATTATTTTTGTTTCTGAGCAAACACATTTACTACCCAGCTAGATAGTTTTACTTGTTGATTAATAGTTTTAATTATTCATTTTCTCTGACTGATTAAGACTTTTGCACAGTACTATATATAATCTATATGTATAATATTTTGAGAAATGTCTTTCAATTCCTTATTTGATGGCAAAACAGCAGCTCTCTTCCTGCATAAGACCACACATTAATGGGTTTATAAACTCTCAGCCCACAGCTCATAAGCATTAGGGAGAAGCTCTGCATATGAGACATAGTCCATGATTATTATTCCAACCAGAGAGTTTGATATGCAGCGAGGCAGCAAACAGTCCACACTGCTTTGTGCTTTACCAGCAACCCATGTGCATTTCATAAAATCGTACCCGAGCTGAATAACAAACTAACACATTATTACCCCTTGCCCTGAACTGGTGGATTTAACCCTGTGATTTCTTTTTGATAAGGGTTAGCAATGAATTTAAATGGAATCAAGAAGGAGATTTAAAGGTATGCTATAGTCACAAGGTTTCATGTCATGCTGGAGTAATGCAATATAAATATGACTGTGGAGGGAACACAGAAATAAATAAATTTAGGTACATAAAAAACGAGTGAAATCACTTGAAATGAAACATTTTGCCACACTTGTGCTGGTCAATTCACAAAGCGGGCTTCCAAGATACCTTTTACAGATACGGTTTATAAACAAGACCCCTAAGCGCGTGTAAGGCTTTCCGCATGCCACAGAAGTTCGACGATAAAGTAGCTAATTTGACATCACCTAATCGAGTTATTAGCTGCATCACGATCCATGGCACTAACGGTGCCGACAGTCGTTCCCGCAGCCATGTTTTCCTGAACTTTCCACTCATACTCTTGAACAGGAAACACTGGGGCTTCATCCACGTCTTCCACGAAGATCTTTATGGTCGCCTGGTCCCGGAACTCATCGTAGCCGAGATAACGAGTGTCCATGGGATCGTTTATGGCCTCTGCGATGATGACAAACCGCTTCTTGGTTTCATAATCCAAGGTCTGAGGAGACACATTAATGGAAAACTGAGCAATGTAAATGAAATTTGCCATATTGTGTATCTGTGTGTGCCCTGTGATCCATATATGTCATTCAGTTCCTTATTTGGTGCCCTGTGATCCATAGATGCCATCGTGTTCCTTGTTTGGTGCCCTGTGATCCATAGATGCCATCGTGTTCCTTGTTTGGTGCCCTGTGATCCATAGATGTCATCGTGTTCCTTGTTTGGTGCCCTGTGATCCATAGATGCCATCGTGTTCCTTGTTTGGTGCCCTGTACTTCCTAAGGTAAGCTACAGGCTAACCCTCACCCTAAATAAGTGAACTGGAAGTATTAGATATACTATATAAAACTGGCTTATACAATATTAATAAAACATACATAAAATAAATATTTCAATTTGTGGAATAATTATAGACAAGTTTACAGCTTTCAAACACTATTTTAACACGTTCCATTGGGAATACATTAGAGTAGCTTGTCAGTGGGTACCTAAACAGTGCTCTGGCATCATACGTGAGATTCTGCTCATATATAGGGCAGGCAGCCCTGAGCAGGTACAGTACTGTGCAAAAGTCTTGTCGTCAAAAGAAATGTTTAAAGCCATTTATCCATTCAGCATTAGAATATATGAAACTTAAGAGTAATGCAATAATAACTACAGTAGTAAGAAGTTACTATTATCTTGTCGGATGACTAGATGAACACCACTTCAGTTCCCAAACCTCTCATCAGGGGCACTCCAGCCATTCCAGGTATTTGTTACATTTCACCACCAGCTCAATCAATTATCTAATTTCATTACTTAAAAATATCAGTGAGATTATAATTAGCTAAATGTGGTGTGCTACTGGTCAAAAATTACATGGGTGCATTGGATGGTTGCTGCAAATACTGGGGTGATTTTAGCAGAAGTTTTAAAATAGCTAAGCTAACACACTGTGACAGGCATAATATCATAGTTTTACATTAACATGAAGGTCATTTAAACATCATTTTATTTGGCTACCTAAGACTTTTGCACAGTACTGTATATATATTACAGCAGCCGGTCAGTGGGTATATACATTAGAGTTGCTGTTCAGTGGGTATATAAGTTAGGGCCACTGATCAATGGGTAAATACATTAGAGTTGCTGGTCAGTGGATATATAAGTTCGACCAGTGGGTATATACATTAGAATATTCACTGATATAAAAATGAGAACCACCTGTTTAAGTTGCAGACATCAATGCAACCTACATGCTGTATGATTTGAAAATCAATTTCAATTTGCATCCTGAAAATGATTACATTCATCTGAATTTCCCATCTGGAGTGACTTATGCAGGCTTTGTGGGATAATACAGGCCATTGAGTTATTGCTCTATTATCAGCACATTACTTTAAAAGACACCAACCCACCAGTCTCCATTTTTCAGAAGTAGCTGGCCTGCACTCGTACATCATGAGAAAGATGAATGAGAGGTGATTGAAAGGCTGGTCTGAGCGTTTGGCAGCTCTCTGTATGTAACGGCTCCCCGCGATCAGCGAGTCACACTTATTATTCAAAACGTCCAGTCGGAAGCAATGCAACGATAAATGTTTTATGAAGCATTTTGACAAAGATGCATAGCGTGGGCGGTTAAGATCAATCAATCAGGTGAGAAGATGACAATTATAAACAAAGGTTTCCAGAGGAGGCCCAGCTGTGATGAATTTAAAAACTGACACTAGTGCAAAACTCAACACATGTCAATTAAGGAGTGTAGGGAAAAAATGGAAGAGTATGGTGAAAGCTGAAAGCTTGTCAACAAGTTCATGTTTAATTTTTGAACAAATATGTAGTGAACAAAGAAGCATTTTACAGACCAATTATTTTAAAAGAGTTTTTTTCTCCGAGGAGAGTATGATTCCTGGGACTTCCTGAAACTCGTACAGGTGGTGCATTTTATTTACGAATTATGCAAAAGTCTGTTGTTCATAACACAAGCTGTCGACCAATTCTCATTGTTAATAGGTTTATAAAGTAAAAGTTTCAGATACAAATGACTGTTGCTGTCATATCGATCTTGAATTTATTGCCATGCTTTGTACGAACAGGAACTAATTTTTCTGCATTTAACGTTTGGCCACTGAGACTAACACCAGCAGCAGGGGCTAACAGTTGAACTAACAAAATTAATTAAAAGGGACATAGCTTGATTATGCTGAACTCTTTTTGCTGAACTGCATTATAAACCAGACCATCTCAGGGCTGCTACTAATCATTAACATCAGTTTGGCTGCAACAACTTCAGTGTTGCATCAGTAACAACATTTCCAGGTAGATTTATCTGTTGTACACATGATTATACAATTGCGATACAATGTTATATATTATTTATGGTACAAGTTTAAAAACAAATCCTAGTTTTCAGCTCCCCTGCTTGGACCCCATAAATTCCTGTGGTGTAGGAATGGCAATTAAAATAACTTGAGAAAACCCCTAGTGTTTGATGCAGTGCATGTGAAAATATCTTTGTTGTGTGATGAAAGTTTTATAGAACTTAGTGCAATAAAACTGATAAATTACCATTAACAGACCTTAAGGGAATATCACTGGTATACAGATAACTTAAAATGTAAAATTTAGGTCAATGTTATTCTAGAGGAAGTAATTACATGTTTAAGTTTATGAAATTACAAAATAAAAATAAAAAAGTCTAAATCAAATTTTTAACTAAAAGCATACTCATAAAGTGACATTAAAACTATGGTGATATATGCAGATATTTTAGTGTATTTACTAGGATTATGCCAAATAAGCAGGGCTATTCACTGATGTTATATACCTTGGCAAGCAGAATTACCCCCTCTTGTGTGACCGGGTCAGTATGGATCTGGAAAGTTCCATTGCCCTCCTTCTCCTCCAGACCGTAGGTCATTCTGGCATTGACACCCACGTCACTGTCATCGGCCTTAATCCGGCCCACGGTCATACCCACCGCGGCGGATTCTGCCACAGCAAAGGAGTACAGACCTGGGAATATATAGGATTTAAGGGAGCCAGTAAATGATTGATGATCCCTAAGAGAGGATCATGGGATTTTATTTTACTTCACTTGACATTAATCTATACTGTTAGTAAATTAGACTCTCCGTATTTGCTGCAGTTGCAACTGTCAAAATGCAACTCTACACTGTAATAATCAAGTTCTGCACTGTGCTTTGCTGTAATCCTGCACATCTCTCTCATTATATGCGGTGGGTCTAAGATCCACAAGAGTGACCTTTGTTTGCTTTCTATTCTTGCTTTCTCTTAAAGCAAGTCACACATAGTTAGAGATGTCTATAAGCAGCAACAATGTTACGGTGTTACTTGTGCCTTCTATCTAGAAATGTAGAAAAGTCCAGAAGGGCTTGGTGTTCAAATTATGATTAATATGCTATCAGTAATTTGCTGTGCTGTAAATATAGGATCAGGAATAGGAAATGGATGTTAATTCCGAGGATTTAAGTTTCAGAAAGATCAGAGCTAGTTGCAAACTGTTATTTTGCAAGCTGCCTGGAAACTCCACAAAGTTTGTTTGTTTGTTTGTAAAGGTCATGACAAATGTCCCTTCAGATACGAGGGATTAAATGCGATATGTCCGACCGACTTGCAGCACATGTTGCTCTAGAGATTTGTTATAGTGCCACGGTTTTTAAAAGGGAATAAATGACAAAAGAAAACAGCAAGGTCCCTTGCTGTCAGATAAATTACAATCATCATTATTTTAACACACTGGGTCCAGTCATACACACACACACACACACACACACACACACAGATATATATATATATATATATATATATATACATATATACACACACACACACCCTTTTCTGTATGATATTTACACATCTATGTACACAACAAAACAAACAATGCACTTAGAAGTACACATCAATGTAGCTTTATATTTTAGCTAGCTGGTGAGATTATTATCGTTATCATTATTCACATAGTGAGCCATTCTTCTAATGAATGGAAATGGAATGCAGTTCAGACATTCTCATTAGTGAGGGAGTGAAAGGTGAAGGGCTGATCAATCTTATAGTCACCCCACAAAAATGCAGAGTTCAACTTACTGTGCTGGAAGACGGGTCCATTGTCATTGACATCAGACAATATAATGGTAACTGTGGTAGTAGCTGAGTAGCTACCAGATAATCCCATCATGTCCTTCACCTGCACTACTACAAAGTACTTTTCCCGAGTCTCCCTGTCCATGTTGGCCAGTGAGGTCACAATGATTCCTAGGAGACACGTAGCACATTCTATGCACAGGCTTTTCATATGCAGAGATTTTATGCCATGCACCACAACAATATACAGTACTGTGCAAAAGTCTTAGGTAGTCAAATAAATGATGTTCAAATAGTCGTCACGTTGGTAAAAATAATTTACTCAATTTAATTATTTGATTGAGTTGGTGGTGAAATATACATGGAATGTCTGTGGTGTCCCCGAGGAGAGGTTTGGGAACTGAAGTAGCGTTCATCTGTTGGTCTTATTAGCATATGTTCTAATGTTAAATTCTTGTAAATTATTTTTTTCCTGAGCAAATATCCACTGACTGCCGTAATGAATAGCCTTAAACATTTTCTTCGAGTGCCTAAAACTTTTGCACAGTAGTGTGGGTAGGGAAGAGCTTTGTGTAGAAGCTCAGCTGCATACTGTAGTTTGACTGTCTAGGAACATGACCGACATTGCTATCTAAAGGTTGGGTTTTTCCTTTTACTTTAAATTCTGACAATAAATCAGACACTGACAACAAACTCAGGCATCCATCTATTTTCTGAAACCACTTATCCTATTCAGTGCTGGGGGTGGGGGGGGAGCCCATCTTGCAGGCTACATGAGCAAGGCCAGGCACCAACCCATCAAAGGGCACACTCATGCACCATTAACTCACACATGCACGCCTATGGGCAGCTTGGTAACTCTAATTAACCTCAGCATGTTTTTGGACTGTGGGGGGTAGCTGGAGTTCCCAGAGGGACCGCCACAATTCTCAGGTCCCAGAGGTGTGACACAATAGGGCTAACCACCACACCACCATGCCACCCCAAACATATAATCAATAAATGTTGTCTTATATCTGTAATATGAAGCTACTTTTATTCAGTGTATGCCAGTCACTACTGTTTATGATGTATGTTAGATTTTCTCAAGTTTGGTTCGTAATGGACTGATTGTTTGCACATTTGAACAAATATGTGCCTCAAATTTATAAGTCAAATAGGTCTCCTGATGCTCTGTCGTTTAAGATTAAAAGAAATTCCACCAAAAAAGGTATGTAAGCTTTGTTCATCATCAGATAATCGTAGGGATCCAAACTAAATTAAACACAAACAGGGATCTAACCCTCTGGTTTCTAAGGAATCTCACTTGCGTACAGGAGATTTCTGTTTTGTGATTCATCTTGCCAGAACAGAGAGCAGAACTTACACACACACCTGGTGTGTTCCTGATCACAGCGTTATAAATGCTTAATTTGTATTACACACATATGATAGTGGCATACTTTCTATATTTAATGATATTTATTTTTCTAAGAGATCCATTTCACAGTTTCTGATTTTCTCTAATTCCACATGGACATCAAATTAAAATCATCAGTAAAAATACTCCTTTTGTTTTGAAAGCTATAGCTATAGAAGTTCTATTTGTGCCTGACTCTAACACAGCCACAAAAGGGACTAAGTGTGAAATTCTGGTGAATTTCTGCTGTGACAAGTTTTCATTTCCTATGTGGTTTGTCCTGTTTTCCCATTTTAAACTAGGCAACACCTTCAACTAAAATATTTTTAATTAGGTATCTGGAAAACAATTTTTTTGGCTTTGCCATTTTAAAAACATTAACACACTAATAAGAATATCATTGATACATTGAGGTTGGGATAAAGTTTTACTGTCTATCTGCTTTACCCCAATGGGACCTAATAAATTAACCAATGGGAATTAAGTGGCTTAAACATTTCATTGGATGAAAAACCTACCAATCCTGAGTTTCACAGACTTGTTTGGCCCAACCCCAGTAATTTGTAATGGTGTCTTGTGCCAGAGGCAGTGGCCTGGCATGTTCGACAGGTCCAATTAGTGAGTTTCACATAGCAAAATAAATAAAATAAAAAAATACAAATTGCAGAGTACCTTTTTAATTATGCCTGTAGTAAAGCTTGAAAGCTAGGGGAAGGGGCTCATAATTTTCTTTTTTTCCTGTTTGTATTTGGTTGTGCTTCATTTTTAATAAAATTTAATGAGTTGCAGCTCAAGTTGAGAACTTTTGGTTGCATATTTATAGCAACTCAGAAGGCCTGTTAAAGCAGACTTGCAGGGCAATATTAATAACCAATAATATCAATTAAAATATGATATCCTAAGTAGTACATGTCCAACTGCTAATATAATTCCAATCACACAAAAAAAAAAAACAATAAAAATATACAAATAAAAATTAATGAATGACAATGAGGGAAAGTATTTCATTTGGAAACACCCAAAGTCCATTTGTAATTGTACCTGTTTTTGGCTCCACTGAGAAATACGGCTCCCCTTGCAGTATGGAGTAGATGAGCTTGGCGTGGTTCCCATGCGACGGATCATCTGCATCTGTGGCTGTCACTTGCACTACTGTGGTCCCTGTGTGGGGAGAGATTACACAGGTGGCGCTGGCTCGACCTGCCACTCACGCTCACAGGGGAAAATAATTACGCCAGAAGCCTGTGGAGTTTCTCTCAGCTGGGGATGACATACATGCTCAGAGTGGGACTTTGGGTGCCACAGGGACAATGCCGAGTGTGTGCGCCTGTCAGTCTCAGTCTGCTCTGACATATCCGCGTCTCGCTCATTTAAATAGGCAACATTTGCATAACAATATTTACTATTACAATAGTACAAGTGCCGTGTAAAAGTACCTAATAACAATATCCCTTGGAATCACCGAGATTCACTGTTGATTTACCCTCAAGTCCGACCATTAAAGCTGCCAAAATATGAAGTCTGTTAATGATACTAATAGAACGTGCAATGAACTATACATTCACTAAGGTTGCATAGGTGCCAGTTATATTTTGCACATAAAATAGATATACATACCACTGGGAGACATTTCTGGAATTACTGACACATACGGTTCATTCTGGAACTGTGGCATGTTGTCATTGATGTCCTGGACTTTGATGATGAATTCTGACTCAGGTTCAACAGGCTGGTTAGTTTTCCTGTTTATAGCCTGGGATCTCAGTATATAGAAGGCCTTCTCTTCCCTGTCGAGCTTGTGTAATGTGTAGATCTCCCCCGAATACTCGTCTATGATGAATACTTCTCCAGCACCCTCACCAGACAGAAGGTACTTAATGGAAAAGTCGCCTTTGTCATAGTCTGATTTGATCTACATAAAAAACCAAAAAATCAAAATTCATCTACCTGAAAAATGACACAATATCATTCTGGAATTTCCTCTGACCTAGATAAGGCATGATGTATTCCTTTTTCTTGTTTTAAGCATTATTTACCTGTCCAATCATTCGGGGATTTGGGTCCTCCTCCTGAACCAAAAGCTGTTTCCAAATCCAGCCGCGTCTGAAGCGCCGGTATGACACGTGCTCCTCTTCGGCCACACAGGGATCTCTGTGCTGCTTGGCCATCTGCACGTCCTCCGCCGTGGAGCATCTCGTCACCAGGGAGAAGAAGAGCAAAGGCAGGAACACGGAGTTGTGCATCATTTACTTTTGGCCTCTGCCCTTTGCCCCTCTTCTAGTCCGCTTTGCTCAGACAGCACCTGGCACTGCTGTCCCATTTAAATTGCAACCGCTCGAACCAACAGGACATGGGGGTGACATAACATCAGAGACGAAATCCATGATGCATCAGAAGGCCCATCATTATGCATGCCCATCTCTGTAAGACACAAATGCAATACTTTGCTTGAAACACATTGTTGCATCCTTTAATCTTCTCAATATAGCAAACCTTGAATGCACAACAGCAAGACGTACTACAGCCCAACCAGATACAGCTGAGATCTGGAAAAAAGTAAAAGAATAAGTATCCAAACATCATAAGTGAATGTATGCATGACCTGCCTTAGACTGTAGCATTGAGTATGTCTATACAGTATGTCTTTTTTCTTTCTTTTTTCTTTTCATCTGACTGCTGTGTTGGCCCCCTTCGTCCCCATCCCCGTCCCCAAAGGGTTGGCCATAAACTTGTTCATCTTTGTGTGTAAATCAATTTGATGCTAAAAATTAGATATAACTGATTTATGGGGCCCCTGAATTGTGTCTAAAAAGATCCTTAATCACAATTGGGACAGAAAAACCAGTGGACATGTTTAAGTCATTTGGACTAGCAGTTAGTATGGCTTATTTGAAGAATCGCATGAAGTTGCAGGTCAACCTGGTAAGCTTGATGTGTCTGCTTCTACAAAAACTAAGGAAACCCTACATAATTCAGCTATGGGAACTGACCACATGTATCACCATGACACATTACAGTACAGTAAGTTTTTCACTTATACCCATGTACTTTATTCATGGCTAATGTCTGAATTGACAGTGGTTAGATTCCTGATTTTTTCCAGTAAATATTACATTTGCCACCAGGTACTCTACAGTAGTAGTTGTGTCAGTTTTCCCTAATTTTTAGTCATTAACACTGGGCAGAAAACAGATTCATAAACAGTTTTTCTGTTTACCCACTCGTTGTACTGAGGTGGGTTAGATATTTTGACAGTGGTGTAAATACCCATATAAATATATAAAATTAAAAACATCTAGTATTTTAGTAAATGATTAAAATATACAGGTATATTGCCTTATATTCTAAATACTGTTTATAGTAGAATTAGCTTGCAGTGTAAAATGAATGAGAAAGTTGTGAAAACATTCAGAAATCTTTGGACAAACATGTGATACATTCTAGGCCCAGTATGTGAACATTTCTGATTGCGGCCTGGTCCTAAAGACCACTGTGTTAAGGCCAGTCAGTGATGCCTCAAATACAAAGCTTTGTACTTTAGGACATTTACAGCATATGAATTACAAAGCAGCATGAATCCATCATGGAGAAGAACAAACCATATACCGCAATAATTTTTCAAAAGTTATAACATTATTGGTTTTAAAAAAAAAACTTTATTAGTAAAATATTTAAACACCACTCAAGTCATATATTACACATAATTTATTAATTTGCATTATTGATTATCCATGGAGACATTGAATATGTTAGATATACTGCTAATTACACACTTATAATTATTTGCAGTTGCGACATAAAATAATGGAAATACCACATGAAAATGGAATATAAATTTTGAGTGACTAAATATCAATGACAAACGCAGCTACGGAGGTGAGTCATAATAGGTAGCAGTGCGAATGAGAATTAGAAATATGTGGCAGCTGTACAAGAGGTCTGATAATCAATACTTTGATATGTAAGATCAAGGAGATGGAGCCTTAATTGCAGGTGCATGACTCATAAAAACTGTGGAATTATTTAATTTATCAAGGGTAACAGTCTGAGAAATCTTGACAGCATATGTCAAACACTTAAAAAAATGTATTTCTTACATAGTACCAAGTCGACACTCATCAACAGGGTTAGACCACAAAATATAGCCTCCAAAATTAGCACAGAATTGAATTTGTTGAGTCTCAACAAAAACTATACATCATGAGCTTCCTTACATGGGGATTTATTTCAGAGCTTCTGTTGTGAAACCCCCTTCATCCATTTCAAATGAATAAAGACACATAACCTGATGTAAGGACCTTGCAACCCAGACCTCTGAGCAAAGGAAAAAGCAAAATGGCCTGATGAGTCATTTTTACTCCTTTTTCAGACATCCAGATGGGTTTACGTTTGGTGGAAGACAAAGGCTGCCTTCAGCTCATATTGTGAAGTTTTATGGGCGGCCAACTTGTGGGAGTCATGAGGTCATATAACAGCCCAGGAATATATGGCCATTTTAGTGGACCATGTCCACCCTATGGTGCCTAGGTTTGTGAAGTCCACCCAGAAGATCACAGGGACTGAACACCCCCCCCCCACTGGCCAGCTGTACCTTAACCGCTGCTCTAACGAGATTCATTCTATAATTCAGGGCCTTAGCTATCCCAGCCAAAAATTCTTCACACCCCTGCAGTCAGTGAGGAGGTTTCACAGTATCAGAACTCTGACTAGCAGATTCAAGAACAGCGTCTTCTTCCCCCAAGCCATTTCCAATGTATGCATTTCCCGTAACAGCCGTATCTTTGGCACATGCGCTTTATAAGCACTGTCATTGCACTTTATCAACTCCTGCATATTGTCTATAGTTTGCACTTGTCTCAGAGACTTGTTTAGTCTCTTTCGAACCAAGTGTGACTGAAAGAGCACGCAATACAATGCAGCTGTTGCACATTGCAAATAAAAATGTTGAATCTTGGTACAGAGTTGCTTCATGTTCTCACGTCCCAAGACGAAAACGCCACCATGTACACCAAGTGCAGCAACATCCACGGACCCTCGTCACATATCAGCAGGGAGCTATTCTTTTTCATGCCTTATCTGCCAGTAATTGATTAATTAGCCACATCCCTTTGCTAATTATTAAATGATTGCTGAACAAATGGTGCATTCAGGCAAACCTTGTGGAAAACTGCTAAAATAGTTGGCAGCCTTGATATTGACAGGCCATCAAAAGAACTCAAGACTCTGTTTCATTTCTCCCTACAGTATATCCTCTCGCTTTGTCGTTCAATTTTGAAAGCTTATAGAAGAAATCCTGGGATTTGTTTTTCAAGGGTAGAATTTTCATAACATTTAGAAATTGTTAATGAACTATTCTACTGTCATGTAGTATTTTTAATAATTGGCCTTTAAAGTTTGGAGCATTCTTTTTATTGTTTAATAATTTGAACAACTCAGCTAACAAATATCAAGTGAATGTGTAATTAAATTTGCCTTTTATCACTAAAACCTTCAACATAATTTAAAAAATATTTAACATTACTAATAAGCATTTCTGACAATTCTAGCACTGGGCACATTTCTGATGAGTAGAATCTTACATAATGCAAATGTTAAAATGCTTATATACCTCAGTCAGGAGTCAGAATCTAGAAAGGAATTATCTGTAGCTTAGAATAAATTTAAGGAATAAATCAGGTCATTGTGATTTTTTAGGTAAAACTAAAAGAAAGTGTATCTACAGGACTGCATGACTTGCTGATACTCAGTCTTAGACCAACTAAATAATAAAGTCATACTCTGATTTTATAGTATATTGTCTATTTGGGTGCATTGAAAATGTTAGACCTTAATGTCAATCTATCCATCCATCCAGCCAGCCAGACATCCATCTTCCAAAATTTTGGTGGCAGAGGAAAGTCTGAAGTTGGATAGGAAGTCAATCCATCCCAAGATCCGCTTGTCCCCACATGAGCAACTTAGAAATGCCAATTAGTTAACTGTGTATATGTGGATCATAGGGGAAATCCAGAATTTAAATAGGGTTGAAGTGAGTTATGATAGCCTCTAAGGGCGGCATAATGCATTTGTTAAGGAGAACTTATACAAAGGGAAATTTATTATATGGCTTAGACATTTCTTTAATGGAAGCTGCATTTCAATTTGAAATTGTAATATTTGCAAGAAAAATTCAACTGCAAACCCATCACAAAGTCGGCTAATCTGGAAACTTAGCAGAAAGGTATTATGCTTAAGATATAAACAGGATTCAGTAATTATTAATGATGCAATCTTACATATATATATATATATGACAAGCATAGCTATTTCTATTGAGCAAAGTCTATTACAAGCTTTGGTGTACCATATTAAAAACGTGGTGCTTTTTTCATATGGGAACCAGCGCTTATGTATAATAAGAAACATTGGCCTTTCTGTTTTAGATGAATCTTCTTGTCTGCAGAAATGATACTGTAATCCAACCTCTCCCTTGTATTGCTTTCACATCTCTCCCTATTTCATATTTCATCCACAGCCGTGCAGATGTTGGAGCAGGCGGTGGATTAATAACTAATGTTTCACTGAAGACATGCCAGACTTTTCTCAAGATATAAAGAACCAGTAAAATAATGAGATGCATAAACTATCGCTTTGATTCACTTTCTTTTCTAACTCATAGGTTTAAATACAACAGTTCTTTAAAACTGTTCAAAATAGTGTAAATGCTTTATGGTCTATATAATAAAATGACTAAACTTCATAAAAATGTGGAATAATGTATAATTTCAGGACAGTCTCCTATTTGTCTTCTGCTTATGAATAAATGCTTCGATTTTCAGCTGATGTTCAGCTTGTCATAGACGTCTTCAGAGGAAGTATGCCTTTCTGTAGAGTGCTGCTACAATATTTATTTATTTTCTAAAACTGCACGCATATTGTCAGTCAGGTGAATCGCAGTAATAAATCAATCTGCTATTATAATCTTTAATAGTAACTCACGTTACTTACAATTCTTGATGTAGAATACGTTCTAAAATTAACAGAAATAAGGCGAAATGTTAAATCATTAACAGAAGAATGGAGTTCTACGAACAATATGTTTTGGGCTCGTAAATGTGATAATAATCTGTTTAGGTACAAACGTCAAACACAAATGAAAAGCAGTGCAGGTGAACTAGGGTTGGCGTTCCCAGCCTTTTCATGACCGCATACTGGTTAATGTTGTGTAAAAATTTCACAGACCAGTAAAAATTGCGAACTGGGGGGAGGGGACCGCTGGTGGCAGATCAGTCAGTGAAACGTTTAATAAGTTTAAGTTTAGCCGTTTCTATTTTTTTTCCAACATGCGTGATTGTTAGCGGTCACAAAAAAGTCGTGGGGTGAAAATATATCGCTCAATTTTGGAAATTAACCAACCCCACTCAAAACTGCCAACATTCTGA